GGATATTAGAATATTTATAAACTTTCTAAATTTAATTTGATTGGGATCTTTATTCTTGACACAAAACAAATACGGAAATAATAACATAACAGTAATTTTAAGATTTTAAGGAAACTTTTTATATATGTAAATGAGATGAGATTTCCTCCTTATATACATGATTCTTATCCGTTGACTTTTATCAAAAAAAAAAAATTATTTTCAGTTCACACCAAATTTATTTTATTCTTATTTTAAAACATTCAGATTTACTAAAATTTATACATTTTTAACTGATTAATGGGAACAACACTATATAACTTAAAGGAAGTGAAAATAATTTTAAACAAAAAAAAAAAACCCAAACAACAGAACAACGTATTAATGATTTAGGTTTTCAATCAAGTGTATTTATTATTGGTAGCTCTAGCTTACCATCGTTTTATTTGGTGTTGGAATGGTCTTTGCCACCGATATCACCGTGGTGCGACGAGTTTCGGCGTTTTGTCCATTCTGGTGGCTCACAAATTCTTTTTTTTTGTTGTGATTTTGTCTATTGACTTTTTCAGATAAAATTTTTTTAGTGTCAATCCTCGTCTTGCTTCTTCAAGTTTGCTTAGTGTTTGACCATTTTGAATATAATTCGTGTTCTCGTTACCGTTCGGTTTGTGTAGAGATCGGTAATATCCAACTAGATATGAAAAAAGATTTTAGTTTTCAACATGGTGAATATATTTAATCGTTGTTTGATCTCGGAGTGCTCTCTCGGTATTAATTCTTAGTGCTTTAATCGTTGTCCGAGTGAGAAGTATTTTGCCTGTTACCTCAACACATAAGGTGAAAGTTTTTACTATTTGGATGAATTTTTGAGAGAATTTGAACTCAACCCTAAAAAGGATATTTCATACTTAATATGAGTTCTTGATATAGAAACTCAGACTCCGTGTACTACTTCCGAGTGTTAATGGGGTATACTGCTCAATGGACCGCTTTGTTCCAGACTATCATGGGTAATGTTACACAAAACCTCAGTCATCAAGGACATCTAGAAGGAAAA